GGGCTTAAGTGGAGAGCAAATGTTTTGAGAATGATGAGGGTACCAAATGTACAGATGTGCTTTACACAATGGATGGATGTATGGATTGTGATGAGTTGTATGAGCCCTCAATAAAATGATTTTTAAAAAGTAGATTTAAGGTGCTGATGATTTTGCCAATTATATTGGCAACGGAAAACATTGACCAAGCATCCACCACGGCTGCACATAACGCTGAAGCATTTTAGATGCAGCCTCACTGAGCACGTAACTCAGTGAAGGAGGCGTTACTGTTACCCTCCTTTCACAGGGGGCACTTCATCAGTTTTAGGTGATCTCAAGATCTCCAGTCAAAGGCCGGAGCGGCACTGAAGGCAGAGCCCGCCCCATCCTACGGTGGCAACAGAAATGCTTTAATGTGGACATACAGTCACGGTCCAGGGTAGCACAGAAGTACAGTACACATCACCACAACCGATGTCTTTCATAATAAGAACAAGTCCTGCTTTGAACCATCTTGGCCCCATGAGAATCCATACCTGGAATTCCCACCCTCCTCTCTCTCACAGAGCAACTTGTTGTCCTTGACTGCTGCCCTGGATCTGGGATCTATCTGCTAGAGCAGTCCAAGGGGGGCATCACCACCTCAGCAAGATCAACCACCAAAGGGCTCTGTGGGGTCACTAACCCCAAATACAAAGACTGTCGTGTTACCTGAGGTGAGGGTGAAAGTAACGGGCAAGGGCTTCGTCTTCCAAGTCTTTCCCCGTCTGTAGCCGGGATGAGAGATCTCGGGTCTTCCACTCACACTGGAGCCGGCGTAACTACCAGAAAAGGGAAGAAACTGTCTGCGGTGACCGGCTTTGACCATGCAGACGAAGGCAAGCCCCGAGGGACGGCAGAGCAACACGAGGGAAGGAGCCTGGGCTGCTGCGGGACCACAAGGGCAGGTGAGCCTGCTCCACGAACCTGGGCCGCGCTCCACAGAGCTGTTGTGTGAAAGAAACTGCTCTCTGATCTGTGAGATGCTGGGACTTTGAGTCTCTCTAACAGCTCAGCCTGCATGGCATCTAACAGCAACTTCCTGCCCCAGAATAGTGCTAGTCTGTCATTATTTTAAGGCATTCAATTCCTCAGCTTAGTTGGCAGTTCATACAGCAAGGGATAAATACACGATCTGCATTTTGACTCCTGAATTTTAGTTAAATGATAAAAGCTGGAAAAATACGGTTACCACAGCCCTTTATTTAACCCTATCTAAACCTATCACCCAAATCCAAACATCCAAAACTTAGTGCAGAGACCCAGAGTGGGGACAGTGAGGAGTATCACTGGCACGGCTTCAGGTATACTGAAGACTTGTCCTCCCCCGCTGCAGCCCACTGGCACACATCAGAACCGCAAGCAGGGCAAGAGACGCTGCTCAGGAAACCCAGTCAGTGCGGGAAGAAATCCATGCTCCAAACTCGTCTCGCCTACCTCTTCCTTGGCATACTTGAGCTTGTATTCTCTCTTCACCGCGGGGTCGAAACGTGTCTGGGGAAGCCAGGTCTGAATCTGGAGTAAGCCAAGGCCCACCCAGAGGCTCCCCCGGTGCACCGGCTCAGGCAGACTCCTCGTACTCTCCCCTTCCCCAAAAAGGTGGCGCAGGGAGGTGAGCATGAGGTCCAGCAGCTCCTTGGGCAAGGCCTCCTGACAGGCCAGGTCCCCAAGAGTCTGGCCCACATGCTGGAAGGCTTGCTTGTCCCCACGCAGCAGCTGCTCGCAGTTCTGCAAGTACTCCTGCCGCTGGGGCTCTGGGAACAGCTCAGCCAGGCCCACCAGGTGCCGGCACAGCACCACCCGCTGGAGCCGCGCGTCGGTGCGTCTGTAGAGACAAGGAGGAAGGGCTCGAGGACTTGCTCTGTACCAAACTGCATTCCTTTCTGACAAAAGCACTCTCTCAGAAGATGCTGCTGCTGGCGGTCCTGCCCATGGATTCCTGCTCTTGTGACGCCTTATCTGGTTTTCTAAACATCAGTCCTTGTTCCAAGGTGCTGACAATTCACGGAAAAAAATAGTCAACAACAACAACAAAAATAGTCAACTCATGGTAGCTCTTTTACGTACTGAAAATTTGCACTAGCGAGAAAGAACCATGGCCTTCAGCCACCAGACCTAGCAACAAAACCAGCAAGTGGCGGTCTGCGTGGCACACTAGCATAGAGCTTTGGGGTGCACTCCTGGGCAGGTGGGCATACCTGAACTCTGCTACTGAAGGAAGAGCCATGTTGGTCCAAAGCACAGAGCGGACGTCCTGCAGCTGCTGGGCTCTCTCAACCCATTCTCCCAAGGTGACGTGCGAGGACAGGACGGGCAGGCCACTCACATCCCAGGGGCTTGCTCTGCAGCTGCTGGTCACGACTTCGAAACAGCACTTGGAGAAGATGGCGCTGCTGAGACTGGCTGGGCCCTGAGGGACAAGACAGGAGCCAAGGAACTTTCAGAAGTTAACAAGATGTTGGGCAGCAGCACGGGGGCACCTTAGACTGGAAAGAGTAAGAGGGGTGTTCAAGTTGCCAGAGGTGGGCGACCATCTGCTGCAGATAAGCCTGGTGGGCAAGCTGAGGGCAGCTCGTAGGAAATGAGGCACCATGGGTGCTCGTGTGATTCAGAGACATATCCGCAAACCTGGGCACCGACGTTCTTGCTGTTGGGCGGGGGGAGGGGGGGGGCGCGCACTGAAGGAGAGTGAGATGTAGAGGCAGGGAGAGGAGTTAAAGACCAATGTGCACGCTCAGCCTGAGCTCCCCAGACACTGAGCTGTGGTGCAGCAGGAGGCGTCCACACCAAAGGCTGGTGCTCAGATACCTGGGATGGAAACCATCACGCCACTCTTGGAGCTGCCTCAAGTGTTTACTAAAGGCAACAGAAATGCTTTGTAATAAAGGGATAAATTTTGATAGAGCAATGAAACAGAGGAGACTCCCAAAATAAATTCACATGTATCGGGAGAACCTAGACAATGAAAGGTGGCATACAAATGAGAGTAGAAAGGATGACTCCATCAGTGATGTGATGACATTTCTTTTATGTCTGCTTCTACAAAAGAAAAAGTACCCCTGATGTGCAAAACCAGATACCCAGATGAACTTGGTTTACATGTAAAAGGAAACCATGGGTGCATGGTTGTCCAACACTCTGAGGACTAAAAGAAACTTCAAATCCCCCCACGCCCACACTTTAGAAGCATGATACCAAAGCCAGAACGGGGGCGAAAAGTTATAAAATATGTTATGATCTTTATCAAAACAAACAAACTTAAAAGAAAACACAAAACTAGAAAAATATTCCAACCACATATTAGGCAAAGGTTAATAACCACAACATAACAGATTTTCAAATCAACAATAAAATCATGAACAAATCTACATGCCTTTTATCGTTTTAATGGGCAATACCATCTAAAATGCAATTATTGGTCTCTCCCTGTCAGGAACAAAGAAGAATGAAGAAATCCACAGACTCAAGGAAGCAATTAGTCCAGGCCCAGTAAGCTTGAAACTGAACCCATGCCTGGAAATCACCTTGCAGCCCAATAACACACAGGCCTACTAAGTGAATTATGGAACCCTGGAGGGAAGAAGGTACTCCTTAGTACAATCCATCACACAATGCCAAAGGGGCAGCCTTTGCCCAAAAACAACGGTCAGAAGATGGGAGGGGCAGGAAGGACGTGTAAATGGGAAACCAGGAATTCAGGGAGGAGGGGGAAGAACAATTTTACATTGAAGGCATTATAATCAACGTTATGAAACAAAATGTTTCTCAGTTTTTTAATAGAAAATTAATCTGCCCTGTACACTCTCATTCAAACCACAAGTTCCCCCAAAAGGGTGGGTGGGTGGGTGGCAGTGGAAGGCGGGGCAGGCATGGACATGGTTACAAAAGTCCAGGAGGAATTTAAAAAGATCAATAAACAAATGAAAAGTAGTTCCATCTCAGTAAGTGTCCGGAGGGCAACAAGTAACGCTTTGGCGAAGGAAAGCTGTCCTACGTATTCTGAGTGAAGGGCTGTGATGATCTGGCCTGAAAACTGCCTCATCAACCACCCCCGGCCACACTGGTAGCAGCCACACATTTTGCTAGGTGTGCAGACATGTAAAGTTAAATTCTAACTCTCGGAACTTAGACACGGAAGCACGGGCTGAATGAACACAGATGGAGACACGGGGACAGGCCGCATAGGAAGGGGAAGGGTGGGGCCAGCAAAACCTCAACACCTAACATAAGAAAATGATTCCATAAAGTATGTTATCATGGAATGGCATGCGCAGATTCCCCACACTGTGCTATATGTGAACAAAGAGTGAGCTCATTTTTAAATGTCCATAGATTTAGTTTTTAAAATATGTAAACAGAAGGATACAGAATAAAGGGCTAAGGGTCTCTTGTTAAGGCTACATGATCTACAGGATTCTTTATGGTTTGAATATTTTAAAAGAATATGATACTATTATAATTTGAAGGAAAAAACACGGGTTTTAAAAAGGGAACTTTAAAACTCTTAGGCTCAGAATGTCCTTATCATTTCAGATGAGACTCCTCTTTCAGAAGACGGGGAAAATCAAGTCCTGCACTCACTCAGCCCAGAGGTGTGTCTCCTCGACAGAGATGTGCATTGCTATATCGCGTAAGCAATTTACAAGCTACTCTATCGTTTTCCACTATTACCAAACATCTACACAACTTTTTGCAAACCCACCTTCAGGGTGGAATCCAAAAGGGGCTTGGGCATCTCCAGGTGCTGGGAGTGCATAGCAGGCTGGGGGCTCCACGTGAGCCAGTACTCGGGATTTGTGGTCACGGTGCTGCTCCAGAAAGATGAAAAGGTAGACTTCAATAGCTCAGACCAGGAAGAAATAAATTCGTCAGTGGACACCTAGGGAAACAATACA